AAGTTTGGGTTTCCTCATGTCAACCACTAAGTTGATGCTAAGTATGACCAAGGAAAATCAGCAAGTTTCTGCTATTCTGAAATGAAGTATTTTAAAAAAAGATTATTTTGTTTTAGATCTAGGTTCAAATTGAAACATAAAATCCTTAGTGACTTCCATCCCCCCAAATTAATTTCAAAATATCAGGGTTTGACAGAATTAGAGGACTGTGACACAGCCTTTCCCCTACCATGTGATACAATAATCAGGAGTACACATCTTGTTCCCCTTAGCAAACATGTTTCTATTGCATTATAACACTGTTGACCCAACTGGCTAGCCAATATTTAGTGTCATTTGTAGGGGAATCAGATATTTCTCTGTTTCTGCCCCATTATTTTGGGTCAGTGTGTATAGAGGCTCATTCCACTGAAAATTAGGAAGGATTAGATACCAAGAGACAATACTCCAGATCTTCTTTCCGCCAATGCTTCAGCCAAAACCCTTCCATGCTCACATTTCCATGTCCTTTTCTAGCTGTTTGCCAGGCACTTGGCTGTGCTGTGCTGCCTCACTGGGCAGTACACAGCTGCAGTCGATTGTCTGTGTTTGTATTTGCTGGGACACTTTTCACTGCGTGTCCCAAGTGCTTCAGGCTTGCACATGGGGCTGGCCTGCCCGTGGGCAATAGTTTTTTCCTTACTGGAACAGTCACCAAGTGGAAGGATGCTAACTTGGCCTAACTTGCCATCAGTTGTGTACCCTGCCACACATGCCACGTGTGCCAGTGACAACGGGAAGCATGTTCATAGCGTTTCTGTTCCTTCTGAATAGCACCTTGCCATGCATTTGCCCATGGCTTAGGAGAGCAGGCCTCCCTTGCCTGGGGCAGCACAAGCATTTTGCTTGGGCTGCTGGAATATACAACACAAGGGTAGCTCAGATGCTGAGTGTTGTAGCCATTCTTGGGTTTCCTCTTGAGCAATTCTGGTCTCATGAAGTAGATTTTGCAGTCCTTCCCCTTGATGCAGATGGACAACAACAAAGCAGTAGCACCTTCCAGTAATTTTTTACCAAAACACACATCATTTTGCAAGACATCCCTTTTGATGCAGATATAAAGGATTAGTCCCATTTGTATTCAGTAGCAAAAAATCCAAATAAAACAGCATAGCACAAAGGATCAGAAGGGATCTTTTTGTATCTGCCAGTCCAGATGTTTGCTCTTCCAGGTATGTTCATTACATAATTCCTTAAACTAACTCATTCAGCTGCAATTTAATTCTAGCCAGGTTTCTTATTCCCCCATCTATGTATGGAAGGCTGGTTCCAAAGATCAAGCTTCTGTTTATCAGAACTGTTTATCTGTGCCCAGCATTTGCCAGTTTGTCCTGGTGATAAACCTGACCTTCACCTCTTCTCTGGTGTTTACACTTCTGGGAGCAGCAGGTTCCTTTCTCAGCCTTTGTTTTTGAGGACACCGTGCAAATTTCCTGAGGCAATGTTCTTCCTATGTGGCTTAAAGTATTTAATTAAAACATCTAATTTAGGAGCCAAGTCAGAACATAGGTAGGCAGAATGACTGGAGATGCCCATTTTTTTCCATTGACTACAGGAGTCCCTGGTGACTGTGCTCCTAATTTATGTGTCTGTGAAGTACCTGAAGTTGGGTAGAACGAATCTGGGGTTCGGTGCTATTGGATTTTATCTCCTGACCAGTCTTGAAGCCTTTCTCAGCACTGGTTCCCACTGGAATTTGTCTTTGTTGAACATAGATGACCGGTATTCCAGATGAAGTCTCACCACTGTCATCGATAGCTTTCCTGCTTCTCTCTCAATTGGAAATACCCTGTCTGAAATAGTTTGCCATCATGTTTACTTTAAACAGGCCTGAATTCTGTACTGTATTTACTTCCTCCTCATGATTTACAGTTCATTGACTCCCTAGCTGAGACCTGAAATTCATGTTAGTCCTGAAGTCCATGATCTTTCACCATGTATTATTAAATTTTACTTTATTTCTGTCAGCCTAGACATCACAGTCGGTTCTTCCTAGGCAATATTTAAAACCTCCTTTATAAAGACATCACCTCCCACTTTACATGGCAATTTTAAATTTCATTAACACTCCCTCGTTTCTGGTGTTCTGGTAATTAGTGGCAGCATTAGGCTGCTTGTTTCCAAGAACAAGAAATTCCTGTCGGAAGTCTGCATTTTGTGTCAAACAGTCACCTACTTGTTGCTTATACATTTGCCAGGCTGCCCAAATAGTGAACATCAAAAGGTGTCATTTCTTAATCATAAATTTGTTCTTGAAATGGAGAGAAATGTAAGAATAAGGCTGTTATCAGTTATCATGTAATTGCAGCCCTATTTCCAATCTGTCAGTGGAAACTGCTGCTTATTTGAAAGATGATTATTTGATTGCTGCTTGATTGCTGCTTATTTGAAAGGTGATTTATCACTGCAAGTCACACTGAAGCTGCTGGGACCTGCCAAAGCCCATGCTCCACCATCTGAATAATATGCAGACTTCATACTTTACACTGAAAATGAAAAATATGGAGAATGGTTCATTGTTTGAGGAGAAAGATTGTTTCAGCTGCTGGCTTACAGAAAGCTGGTTGAGCAAGAAAGGGAGAGGAGTGGCAGAGGTCATTTCCAAAGAAGTGAGAGTTGGTCTTTTTCTGGGCTCTCAGGAGAGCTGATAGCTACATGGCTTTTATTCTACCGAAGTCAAAGCAAGGAAATATCAGGTTGGACACCTTGTGTTACCTCAAGGTCAAAGTCCTGGCACATCCCAGATACTTCTGCATTCCTGCCTTCCTCTTCCCCACAGGATAACTGTGTGCTCCCCTTCCATCTCTATTCACCATTGCCAAGTCCTCCCTCACTACAGGGCTTCTGCGACACCCGTGTCTGGGTATATTTTTCCTCCCTCAAGGGGTTCAGTGTCCCTTGTGTTCTTTTCCCTCACCATGACCATTGTGATTCCCCTCTCTCTCATACTTCTCCCCTTCCTTTCACAGACTTAATCAAACACTTTGGACTTACACTGAAAAGAGCTGAGGTCTTCTCAATGCTGGAGGATTTTATCTACTTATTTTCTGAGAGGTAGACAGTTCCAATGGTTGCTGGAAGTGCTGGACATGCTAACTAGGGGCCCCAATCACTGCTCTCTGGTTGACTGGCCTCAAAATCAGGCAATTTCTGCCCAAGAACATCTGTAACATTCCTCCAATGTTCTGGCAATAATTGAATGCAGTGTTGTACAGTTACCCTATTACAGGCAAACAGAAATAAGCAGACATGGGTATTAAGGTTTTTGTGAGCCCTGGCTTCAACTCCCAAAGGTGAGGACCCACTCCTGGCTGCAAAAGCTGCGTTACCATTTCAAGCACTGATGTATAAAATGAACAGAATCAAATTGCTGGAGCTAAGTTGTCACCATTTGCTCAATAAGCAGCACTGCAGAGGTACTTTCGCACTGAGGGGAGAAATGTGCATGTCTGGCAGGAGTCGGAGAGCCCTTCCTGGCAGAACAAGAATACTGTCAGATGAAAATAGAGAAAAGCGGGTTTGAACAGATCAGAAACAGGATACAGCCCGTACAGAAAACTTCTGTGCAATCTGTGGAGTGCAGGGGATGTACAGGGCAATAATGTTTAGATTTTTCCAGTTGCTGTCAATACGGGAGAAAAATAATGACTCATTCAAATACACTTAAGAGGTGCACTTTGAAAATAAGAATCCAGGCAGACAGGTACTGGCATGGAAATGTACACAACAGGTTGTTTATACAGTGTCTTTCACAACCAGCTACTCAGGGACACGTGACAAACCACAATACTTTTGCCACGTCAGTAGCCTACGCTGCCTGTCCCAGCTGTCACCTTTGCCTGGGTCTGTGCTGGGCACCCCCATCACACCGACCTGCCCAGCTGCCACACAACTCCCAGCCGCTCTCAAGCGTCTTTCAGCCCTGAGGACATGGCAGTACAGACCCTTAGTCTTATCAGGCACCTGCTGTCCCCATCCTTTCAAGGTTTTCCTATGGCATGCAAGCATTTTTTGGAGGTTGTTTAAGAAAAGCAGAATTTTATCATGAGAAGTGTTGTGTAAATACCTATGTCCAAGAGAAACTGTTGGAAAATACACATATGCGTGCCATCAGAAATACATAATCTCATTTGGGGTGAGGTCTGTGGGTAAAAACATGCTGTCTTCCTGATATTTGAGTATTCCCAGCAGAGGGACCTTAAGAAAGAAAGACGAAGAAGAAACTGTGTTTTGTAAGGAAGAAGAACAGAAGAAAATATGTGACCCTGCATCCGTTTCATATTGAATGATTGGATGTATAAGACTCCCCATGGGAGATCTCCCACTTCCAGCAGCTTGCTTTCTCATTTAAGAGAGAAAAATACTGAAAATAGTGCCTGCTGGACCCTTGCCATGCTCTGAGGAACCTGGACATGGCCAGTGTGTCCGCAGACTCAGGGATTCCCCTGCAGCCTCCACGCTGTCGCCTCTGATGCCTGTCCCTGCAGGCAGCAGCAGCATGGAGGGATTGCTCCCCCCCATCCCTGGGTGGGGTTGAAATGGCCAGTAATGGGAGCTGTTGCAGATATTGTAGCAGAGGTGCAATGGAAATATCCCCCAGCGTGGTACCTCACGAACTGGCTCATTGGAGGCGATAATCACAACGTGTAGCGCAGGCAGCATTCCTCTGCCTTGAGGTCAGCGTCCCAAACCAGTCAGACTGATGTCAGCACCTCGCCACACCTGCCAGTAATGGCATTAAAAGCCAAATCCTCACCTCCAAGAAGTCATCACTAAAGCCCTTTTCAGTCCTTTACTGCCTTTTTGGCAGCCTCAGCCCCAGCCATCAGGCACCTCCATGGGGATGGGGATGGGGATGGGCCAAGGCCAGGTTGGGACACCAACCCGCATGGGGATGGGGGTCAGGATCAGGCCCAGTGAGGGGGAGATCCTGACATCTGGCAGCTCCACTCCACTAGTCTGCTAGTCTCCCTGCTCTTTCTAGGACAGAGTCAGTGGACTCAGGACAGAAAACAGCATGAGCAAGACCATAATGGAAAAGATACCGCAAGGTACAATACAATGCAATAGCGTATTGCATAAGGTACTACTGCTGTGGTTATGAGAGCTCTAGGCTGATCAAGGACAAGGAAGGGCAAGGTAATCTTTTGGGTTCTTTTCCATTTGTGTGGGGTTTGGTGTGTTTTTTTTTTTTTTTTAATTTTTGTTTTGTTTTGTTTTTTTAGATTCCACTACTACATCTAGAGAAAGCTCCCTTTTGTCTGGTGGCAGCGAGATCTAATCACTATTCCAGCCTGCATAATACATCTGCATCTAAATACAGGCGTTTCAGGGTGCATCTCTCTTTTTAAAGGAGGCTCACAGTGAAGCTCTGTGCTGCAACTTGAAAAGGCAGCCAGCACCCAGCCTGCAACAGGGAGAGGGATGGAGCTCACAAGCCTTCAAGTGTCCTTTCCTCCTCCTGCAGGGCAAAGTCTACAGGGTGAAAAAAAACCCAGAGCAGGTCCCTCCTGGATGCTGCTGCCCAGGACCTCCATGCTTCTGTGTGATACTACACCACTGTGTGCCCTGTTTGCCAGCACTAAGAATGGCTGCTCAGAGGACCGTTAGACACTGTTTCCCTCTTCTTACATCACAGAATTTGTCTATTCATAATTGTACCTGGGATTATTACAATCTCTTTAAATCTCTCCAGTCTATTTATGTGTTATATAAATAGGGCTGGAGGAATGAGGCATACCCTTTAGATTAACAACATACCATCCCTTTAACTTTTTGTTTGAAAACATCTCAGGAGCAGTAGAATAACATGCTGAAAATGTAAATCTGCATGCCTTTTGATGCAGTTTTGTAGCTAGAAATAAGGAAGGGAGATTTGCATATTAGACCATTAGAGACCCAGGCAGGATGAATACTCACTGTAGCTTCTAATAAAATTTTTGACATAGGTAGTAATAGGATATAATTACATTTGAGCTATTTAAGAGAAGGCGCTTCTCATACAGACTAACCACAGGAACAATTAGAGGTGCAAAAGTCCATTTTCCTCATGTGCTCTCAGACACAGAATACATTAAACTATGAACAAACCCAGAGGTTGCAATCTTTTGTTCTGCAAACTAACTAACCTCATAATTACAGGTTTTTGAATAACTAAAGGAGGTTTCTTTTGATCTGCACTTCCTTTAGATCAGGTTGCTTTACATCAAAATAATAACTGACCTGGTTTGCACAGGGAACATCTCCGACCAGTATTAGTGAGATTTTCTTGCAGTAGAGCTCATTACACCTTGAGGGTTGTGGATCTTTAATTTCCAGAAGGCAAAATTGCTCGGAAGTCTCTACCATGATTGGAGTGGCTTGTAGCTACAAAACCAATGTATTCCTTCTGGCAATGTTAGCCTTTCTAACTCAAGCAAGCCCCATAAAACCTCATAATATCATGTGTTTTCAGTAGTCACAACTAATTTCTCACTCATGAAAAGAGTGCAATGCAGAACTGATTTATTTCCATAAGCATGATTTACTTTGTTTTCTATCTCATTAAAACAAGCAATTAGCCAAAGCTTTAGGTATTACAGACTTTTCTATGAGGATACATTGATGCTGATGAAAGCAGATGTTTCTCCAGGAGTTCCTGTTAATTCACGAGGGCAGCAAGACAACTTACATCCCCAAATTCAACAAGAAACGTGATGAGGGGCTGTGTCTTTCCCCACTGCTCAAATTCTCTTTCAGGAGAGCATATAACCAGCAACCTTTGCCTCCTAACCTTTTGTGAGGAGACGTGCGTGGGGTTGTCCCAGCTGTAGTGAAAGCCGTGGACGTATCAGACCACCTGTGCCAGCCGGAGTGCCTTGGTGCTGGGGCTGCCGTCGCTGCCCTCCAAAGCCCAGGGCAGCACCGGGGCTTCCCCGTGGCCCTCACCTTCACAGCTCCTTCTGCTCAGCAGCACAGAAACGCTACCTCCTGCCGGGGAGCTCGTTTCCCCCATGCGCTTTTTATTCTGGGCAATAAATAAATAATAATTTAAAAATATATATTCTGGGAGCAAAAGCTTGTAACTGAAGCTGAGGCAGCTTTGCATTTATCATGCGTGATAAATCCTGACTGTAACACAAGCATCCGTGACAATAAGTTTAGCAGCTGTATTGCCCTGAAGACTGGTCCGTATTAGAAGGGTAAATAAGATTCTTTTCTTCCTCGGCGGTTGCTGACAAAGCTTGTAACCAGTCTAATAATGCTTGTGTCCTGTGGGAAATACGTATGTTAATTTGCCTGTGTAAACACTCATTCCTCCTAAGAAAATGCTCTGCCTGGCTCTACGTGTTCCTTCACAAGTTTTATAAAAACAGTTAAATAAACAGCTTGCTCCCAGTGCCTTTTCTCACTAAATAAGTGACACGAGTCAAAGTCCAGCAGCCCAAAAATGTATCTCCGATCTTTATGATTTCTCTGCAGAATCTCCCCAGTCCTCTGCTCCAGTCAGATGCTTTTTGTTGCATGCCATGACGACCACATGAATTAAGGCTACTTTAGGCTTTTTTTTTTTGTTATGGTAGCCTGGGAAAGTCATGCCTTCCAACAGTTTTATTTGTTGACATCTCTATCCCTGATTTTTGTAACTGAGGCATTGGAAAAATGACCTTCAGATCCTGGCAACAGAACACATAGTTCCTTCCACATTTCACATCTCCTTTAACATCTTTCAGTGTCTACAACTGTGAAGACTGATGCTTTTAAAACCTTCTTCTTGGTTTTATAAAGCAATGTTTAAACATAGACTGATACTGTCATATCACTGATTGCCCCTCAGTGTGAAACGTAATTTATGAATGGAGGGCACGAAAGTGGTTTCCATTGCTGCCATCTCCTGGTGCAGTTAATGAACTCCACACGGCAATAACAAAGGCACATTAACAGTGAAGAGAAATTAAACAAACTGAAATAGCATATAAATCTTCATGAAGGCAGCTGTTAGATGCCAGAAAAGCATCTTAGAAGGTAATACACACCAGAAGGACCATTGCCAGCTGAAAATTGCAATGCTGCCTGGAACTGCCTTGTCCATTGTAGTACCGATGTAATGCCAGTGATGATATTAGAAAACATGAGGATAAAAAAAAAAAAAAAAAGTATTTCTCTGTGTTTTGGAAGGCATTTGGTATAGCAGCTCTGCAATCAATTTAATGGCTTTGCTGAAGTCATTTCCCCACTGTTTGTATGATTCTTTCAGAGTGGGAAAAAAGAAGAACATTTTGGTTTTTAAGCAGGTAAATGTGAAACAATGGAAATTACCTGGGAAGATCAAGGAGTGGTGCAGGGTTAGAAATTACTTTAATTCACTTTTTGGAACTGATCAGCTGACAATGTCCCTATAGTCACTGTGGTTCGGTAACTGTGGTAAACGAAAAAAAAATTAATACATTTCCTAGAGTTCAGTAAAGACAAAATAAAAAATGAAGTAACCTGAGCAAAAATAAATAAATATCTTTAAGAGCTGCACACCACAACACATTTCAGAGCAAAAAATAGCCTTTGTTGTGCTCTACTGGGAGAGCAACTCCACGAGGTGCACAGCTGAATCCATCATACCAATACAAAATACATTGAATTTCTGCCCTCATTTTGTGAACAAAAGCACAGTATTCTGTCTGTATTCCATTAATTCGTGCTGAATTTCAGATTCTTTGGAGTTCTGTCATTGTGTTGGCTTGCTTGTGAGCTCAAATTAATTTTTAATGATTTAAAAAAGTGCTCCATGTTTCCTGAAATCACACCTATATACTTCAACTGCAAGCTTCACTAATCCTCAGAAATTCATACTGCTGCCATTATGGGGGATGATGGGGCACTCGTTAGCTTTTTGATCTCTTCCACAATCGTTATTCCATTCATCAGCCAGCCAGCTGGCTGCATCGGCTCCCTTTGGAGTCCCTTTCCCTGACTAAGCAATGCTGCCATAAAACTGCATTGTATCCCCTCGCTCTGCCCTTCCTCCACAGATGTTACCATTTCAATGGGCATACACAGTCCCTCAGCAAAGCTAAAATACTGGTCTGCCAAGTTCCTCTTGGCCAAGATACTTCCTGATGCTGATTTTTTTTTTTTTTTTTTTTTTTTTAGAGCTCCTGCCAACCGTGTACCTTTCCCACCCCAAGGACAGAATGTCTTTGGTTTAGCCTGGCTGGCAGCCTGCCCATATGGCATCCAGGTTTCTGGAGTTCAGCATGGTTTCCATATGATCACATTAAATTATTTTGGGATAATAAATGATTTGGCAGTGCACAGCAGTCTCTGGAGCATAGTCATTTATGCTCAACAAATATTTTGCATACAAAAATGAATGCAAAACCCAGAAATGTAAAACCTAACCCTAGGCAGAGCTATTTTTCTTGCACTGGGGAGTAGAGTAATAGTCTTGAATAAGATGTTCTGTATGAACCTCTACTCCATACAATGAACTAAGTAATTTTTATCTGTCATCCTCTATTTTATAATCCCACTACCAATTACACATGTGAAATACAACTGACTCTGATTAAATTGCTCTGGAATAACTGTGATCAGAATCTGGGCTTATTCTGTACATGTTATTACAGCTGTACAGAGTAAGTTAACCAACACTTCTCTTTGCTGTTCATATGGCTTGTTTAGTTCATGTGTCACATTAATGGGACACTTTAAGAAGGTGCATGTTGTGCTTTGAGCCCAGAGGGCAACTGAACACCATGCATCAGCTCACTCATCCCTTCCCACTCAGGAATGGGAAGGAGAAAATAAAGCAAAAGGCTCGGGAATCGAGATCAGGACAGGGAAGGGTGGCTCATCTGTTATGGTCGCAGTCAAAAGACAGACTCATTAGGGGAAGAAAAATATCAGCAATTTAATTGAAACACCACTACCACTTACCAGACAGGGTAGGACAGTGAGAAGCATTACCACATCTTGAAAACACCTTCCCCCCACCTCTCCCTCCTTCCCAGGCTCAGCTTTGCTCCCAGTTTCTATACCTCCTCCCCCCCAGGTGGTGTGCAGGGGGCAGGGAATGGGGGTTATGGTCAGTCCTGCAGCTCCTTCCTCCTCAGGAGGAGGACTCCTCACGTTCTTCCCCTGCTCCAGTGTGGTGTCCTTTTCACGCGAGACAGTCTTTCACAAATTTCTCTGAGGCCTATGGGCCACAGTGTTTCCCGAGCTGCTCGGGTGTGGGTCCCCCCCGCCTGTTGCAGTCCTCCCAGCGCCGAACTGCAACAGCGGGGGCTTCTTCCCACAGAGTCCCAGCCTTCCTTGGGCACAGCCACTTGCTCCGGTGTGGGGTTCTCCATGGGCTGAAGGTGGGTCTCTGCTCCACTGTGGACCTCCATGGGTGGCAGGGGGGCAGCCCTGCCCTCTCACCATGGGCTGGGGGGGTCTCTGCTCTGGTGCACCTCCCTCCCCTTCCTCTTCTTGTCTTCCACTGGCCTTGGTGTTTGCACAGATATCTTCCTTGCAACTTCTCTTCACAAGTCCCAATCCCCTCCCAGGTTCCCCTCCTTAAAATATGTTATCTCAGAGGCTCAGCCACCGTTGCTAATTGGCTCAGCCTTGGTCAGAGGTGGGGCTGACTTGGAGTGGGGGGACCTTTGAGAAGCTCCTCACAGGGGCCACCGCCGTAGCCCCTTCCCCCATTACCAAAACGCCTGCCACACAC